GCCTTGTCCTGCCAAGGGGTCACCGCCAGGCTGGCTGGGGCGGGGTGGTGATGCGCTTTCACGGAGAGGGGCTGATCAGAAAGCTGCAGGAGGGAGCCTGCCTGGGGGGTGGCTGAGGACTCGGCTCCCAGCCCCGGTGACCAGCGCTGTGCTTGCAGGCGGCTACTTTTCCGGGGAGCAAGCCGGGAAGATGCTGGAGGGCGCCATCCTGGAGCTGTGTTCCCAGGTGAGTGGGAGGCCCTCGTTCCCACGGCCCCTGTGTCACCTGTAACGCATGCTCCCGCGTCCCCCTCTGCACCCATGCTCTCTGCTCTCCTCTCCGCTCCCGCGTCCCCTCTGCATCCACGCTCTCTGCTCTCACCTCCACTCCCGCATCCCCCTCTGCACCCATGCTCTCCGCTCTCCCCTCCGCTCCCGCGTCCCCTCTGCACCCACGCTCTCCGCTCTCCTCTCCGCTCCCGCGTCCCCTCTGCACCCACGCTCTCCGCTCTCCTCTCCGCTTGCTGCAGGCCTCGAGGGGGCAGGCCCTTGGTGCAGGAGTGGGGTCCCTCCAAGGGCTCACACCATCTTGGGGGGTTCAGGTGCCCAGGTTGTAGGAGCGAAGGTCTCCCGCGGGGCCCCTGCTGTGTGCCCAGGAAGGCTGGGGTGGGGCCTGCAGGAGGTCCCCTCTGCACCCATGCTCTCCGCTCTCCTCTCCGCTCCCGCGTCCCCTCTGCATCCACGCTCTCTGCTCTCACCTCCGCTCCCGCGCTCCGCCTCGTACACAGGGCCGTCAGCAGAGCAAGGAAGTTACCAGAAACTCTGCCCCGGCCTGAAACTTTGGGGAGAGGGATTAGGGGGACGGCCTCAGAATCGGGCACGTCCAGCCCTTTCACCACAGTCGATACTTCTTCCCCAAGCACCTCAGGCACCCGGCCTACAGCCCAAGCTCATTTTGTGGCACGATCTCAGGTGGCCGAGCCCCTCCACGGCCCATGGCACCCTGTCCAGTGGAGCGTCCCACAGGGACCCACCCGGTCACCGCTGACTGGGGTGTCGGCCGTGGCAGTGTGGCCAGTGGCTGAGCTTAATTTCCTTTCACTGTAGTTAATGTAAAGCGAGAGCGCCCCGCGTGCTGCAGCTGCCTGTGGGGTCCACGTGGGGTCGCCAGACGCCCCCGCAGCTGGGCCGTGTGTTCTCCAGGCAGTGCGGCCAGGGGTGGCCAGCCCCCGCGGCCGTCTGGCGGGTCTGAGCCTGATGGTTGGTTCCGTAGCACCAGCCACTCCCTGCCCGAGGTGGGGCAGCCCCACAGCCCGCCCCTTCCCACAGGCAGACAGTGACCCGAGGCCGTCCTCTCTGGTGTATGTTTGAGCTGCGGTTTGTAACATCACAGCCCTTGTCCCCTGGCGCTCCCACGCGCTGCTCCCTCTGTGGCTAAGGCCTGAGGGTCGCAGGTATAATAACGCAGCCCCTGCCTCCCCCCACCCCCCGCCCCCCGGGGTCCAGGTTCATCTGTGACCGCAGGTCGGGGTGCGGGCCTGGGACAGAGAGTGCGCTGGAGGCCAGCATCCGCCCGTGGGGACTGCTCGGGGCTGTGCCCGGGCCTCGTTGCTTTAGATGCTGGGGTGGGGGGGCGCCCAGCTTCTAGCACAGCTGTGGCGTCTCACAAGGGTTATAGGGGGAGAATGTGTTTTTGCATTTCAAGAAAATTCTTGGGCGTCTCCTATAAATTCCACACTGAAGACTAACTGGTAGGGCAGGACGGGGGGCACCGCTGGCCGTGGGCCTGGGAGCGCCCACAGGGGCACGGAAATGCCTCTCCCGATGCCCCTGGCGCCTTCCCTGCACGGGAACGCCTGCTGCCCAGGTGGGTCAGGGCCAGAGACGCACCAGGTGACGCGCTACGGTCGGTCGTCACTTTTACAACCAGACTCAGACCGGCCTGTTGACGAGACATAGAAGGTTGGAGTCGTGCGTGGAGCGTGCCTGGTGAAAGCATTCAGAGCCGACCCAGGGACCCCGTCCGCGAGGTCCCCCTGGGAATCGGCCTCGCGCTAGGGTTACCGTTGCTAGTGGTCCAGCAACAAGCTCCAGGGCTCTGTTCCTCCGCGGTCGCCGTGGAGACGTGGGGCCTTGTCAAGCCTGTGGCCTTTGTCTTCCAACAGCTGAAAGACGACGCGGTCGCCCTGGCCGATGTGATCGCCCCTCCTGACTTTATCCTGGACTCCCCGATTGGCAGAGCCGACGGCGAGGTAAGGCCGCCTGTGCCGTGTGTGCAGGGGCCGCGCTGGGGGCCGGCCGGTCACTGCCGGGCCTAGGTGACCACCTGCCCAGGGGTCTCCCGGCGCCTGCGGGAGGTTGTCACTCGGCAGCAGTGCAGGAGGAGTCGGGTGTCTCATCCCCCAGAGCCTTCCTCTGAGACGTGGGGCTCACGCGCCCTCATGGGCTGTGATGCGGGCCGGGCCCTGCCGCACCTCCCTCCCTCACACTCGCCCAGGGCCCTCTCCAGGCCTGGCTGCTCCCCCACCTCACAGGGCTGCTCCCCCATCAGCTGGGCCCTCACCCTGCAGCCTGCTTCCCTGGTGCCCCCCCCCCTGCGGCTCCCTAACCTCCTCTCTGGCCCCGCCCCAGTGAGTTCTCAAAAAGCAGGTGTCCTCAGGCCACTCCCCTGACTGAGGCCCCCCCCACTCCGGTCCCTGAGATCGCCCCCAGCTCCCCTCCCGCGCCCCAGCCGCGCAGCCTGGCCGGTGCTGGTCCTCAGGTCACTGTGCGCCTCCAGCTGACGGGCCTCTCTGCTCTGTCCTGCTGGCTCACCCCACCCCAGGACCTTTGCACCTGCTGTGCCCGCTGCCGGGAGCAGGCCCTTCATTCGGTTCTGGGCAGATTGCTGCCTCTCTTGAGCTCTTCTCCAGCCTCTGGGGGGTGTCCCAGGCTCCACTGCTCTGTCCTGCTGTGTGACCCCAAAGCGCTCGGTCCTGACCCCCATCTCCCCACATGACTTTCCTCTGCTCCGCGCCTCCCAGGCTGCACGCGCTGCAGCGTTGTCCCTGGAGGCCTGGGGACGTGCCTCAGGTGTCAGCATGGAGCAGGTCTTACCCCACCCGGGCCCAAGGCCGCCCTCTCTTCTGAGACCTGCTGCATCTCAGGCTCCCAGGGGTTGAGGGGTCAGGAGCCTGTCCTCAGAGGACCCTGAGCGGGCGCCCTCACGGTCACTGTGCACCCGTGGCAGCCTTGTCCGGGGGGCCGGCGCCCTGACCTTCCATGGTCCAGGCCGCCTGAGGATGCTGGACAGAGAAGTCCCATGGAATCGCAGCAGATTCCCACTCCCAGCCAGGCAGGTGTCGCCCGGCCAGAGCGCGCAGAGCCAGGGTCTGGGTGAGGAGTGCTGTCCGGGAGGAGACAGGAGTGTCCCCCTGGTCCCCTGGTGTGGCCAGGGCTGTAGAGGCAGCGCTGCTCAGCCCAGGGGGGAGGGGCTGGCCCTGGGGGATGGGGACTTGGCAGGCAACCGGGTGGGTGGGCAGTTGAGGAAGAGGCAGCAG